AGCCGGTGAGATTTGAACCACTGAACTGCAGATAACAGTCAGCTGAAGTGGCCTGCAGTACTGCACCCTAACCACTGCGCCACCTCGGCTCTTTAGCAAAACTGTAGCTTTGCTGTCCATTGCAGCTAGGAATCAGCCAGGTGGACCTCTGTGCCACACCAGATTGGGAAGGATGCCTCTCTATTAAAGCTGGTGCAGCAAGTCACCAGCCTCCCCCTTCCCGCTGGGCATGTGAGCGCTTCTGGCAAGGAGGAGGAAGAGAGCACTTGTGGTGAGAGGAGGCTTGGCGGGTGTCAGAGTGGCGGTGAATCCTTTGCAGCTCCTGAGGGGGATCGAACCTCCCCTCTCGCAACATCTTCATCTGACAGCAACGCTGGCAGCTGCTTTCTGTGGCTCAAGAGGTCCACATTCTTGGTCTCCTAGATTCACAGAGGTAGGCGGCTGCAGCAGTAGCCACAACACTGGTTTCATTCGCTGCCTGCACACTCAGGGCAGTGATTAGCCAAGCAAGCAAGCCAGCAATCTGCTGACTGCCTCTAATCTGCCTGCCCATGCCCGGTTCCTGTGCCCTCGACTATGCTGCCCCCTCACCTTTCCCCCTGCCTCTCCTGGCCAACAGTGCTCAGTAAGTAAGGCAGGTAGGAATCTCAAATACAGCTGAGAATGAATGTTTGTGTTGTAGCCATTGGCTGGAGCTACTAAATAGACAGCCAAGCTAAGTGTCTGAAGGACCTCATCCTGTCACTGGGAGTCCAGGCAACTCTGCGATTAGCAAGTGGATGGGCTCTTTGAGAGATGAGTTCACAGGGGGCTGATCTAGCATCTGGGCTGGCTACAACACAATGTTCATTCTCAGCCGTATTTGAGATCCCAAGCTGCAATGGACAGCAAAGCTAGGGTTGACTCAGTAGCTCCTCTCTGCTGCAGTACTTCCTGGATGTGGCTTACAGCTCCAAGCCCAAAGAGGTATGAAGCAAGGGTTGCCTTGGTGCCATCAGCCTTAGTGGTCTGTGGAGGATGTGCTCAAATCAGTGCTGAGACCAGAGCCCCGGGAGGAGGTGGGTGAAGATTTTTATGGCTTTCTTTATGCCTCACAAAAGCAGAGATGGGTGGGAGGCCCTAGAGCACCCCAGTGCAGCACTCTTCCATGGGCTGCCCACTTACCCTCCCCTTCACCTTGGGCCCCACATCCAGCCCACAACCAGGGACACACTGCTTCTGGGTTAGTCCAGCTGGTGGGTGGGTGAGCTGAAGACCAGCTGGACTAGCCAAAGGCTGGTGGGACATCACAATACTTGGGGCCTGCAGGCTCTGCAGGAAAAGTGACTGACATCCGGGAGGCGAGAGTAAGATGTCGACACTGATGCCGTTGTTGCCAGGGGTGAATTGGCCAGCATCTCCCCCATTTTGAAGTGTGCTAAATTTTACTGTGCTGTGCAAGGCGCTGCAAGAGCAAATGTACCACCACAAAGGCAGAATGCTGTGCTGCGCAAAGGCAATTTCAGAGGTGCTTTGCTCCTGTGTGCGTCAGTCCACCCGCCACCGCCCTGGCCACAGTCTCAAAGATCGGAAGGGCCGAGTGGGAAGAGAAAAAGCAGTGAAACTTGCAAGAGCAAAGACAGGACAGCAAAGCAAGCAAGTGAACCTTTGGCCTGCTGGCTCTCCTCTTTATTCCCCCTCGTTCCCAAGGCAGGCTTCTGGAATGGCAGTGGCAGCACATGTGGCTTCGAGAGGAAGAGAGGCCAGGTGAGACCCAGATGCGTTCCGGTTCCCCTCATCCCAGAAGCATCAACCTCACACTCTCCCGTCTCTGCTAGTGACTGCTCTCTTCTCCCTCTCCCTCCTCGATGCAGGGCAATCCCATATGAAGAAGTTGGTGGCCACTAGCA